CAGCCTTCCTGCTCCTCTGATGCTGCTTGGCCTGCTGTGTTCATCCAGCTCTACACCTTGTTATCTCCTTTGAAGGCAGCCTGTTTAATAACTATCTGCTAACCTTTGATTCCAATCAATCTGGGCAGATTCAGTCTTGCCCCAGTGAAGTTGGCCCTACCCCGGTTAATTTCTCTTACTCAGCATAGCACCTTATCCTATTCCAGAGCCAACATAAACCTTATGAAGCAACAGAGGCTGATGCAGCAGTCCCCTAACTCTTCCCTTACTAATACCCTATTCACTTAGTTCATGCCATTCCCAGGAACTAGATCTAATATTTTCTCCTTTCTTGTTGACCTGAACACATACTGTTGTAGCTAATTCTCTGGATCACACTCTAGGAACTCTTATCCTTCTCTGCCCTACTACCATCCCCAGACTATATTTGGATAATTAAAGTCCTCCATTATCAGTATCCTTTTGTGCCATTAAGCAATTCAGCTCATTAAAGTACCACAGTCTGTGGTTTTGATACCTCATATCGGTATGTGTTTGGCAACAATAGCTGACCTGTAAACTATTTCAGGAATGCATTGTTTATGGGGAATGATTAGTATAAATTGCATGCATTGTTTTCAAGCCCAATTGAATAAATTACTGGAGAAAGTATGCAGATAAACTGCAGCAAACAAGGCGAATTTCTACATATTATCTCAACCACACCCTCCACTGGAGCGCGATGTTGCTCTGCAGACCTTGACAACCAGTTAAATCACGAGGTGACGCACATTTTGCAATTAATTGCATCTGATTTAATCTTTCCACTCAATAATAGGTTGATGCTCTGCCTTCCAGGCGATTGCCGGGCAGAGCCTTCTTTTGCAAACACTTCTTAATCAATTCCAGTCATGTAAGGTGGATTGCGAGGAGTGGAAATGTCGACCACAAATCATTCCAATGTCAGCTGCCCAAGGCCGGGTGCCTCGAGAGTTCATCCTGCACAGCCAACTGTACGACTTGAACACAAATCCTCTGCTCCCAGACACTCCAACAGTGGGCGGATTTAGCTCCTTCTCCCAATTGTCACTGATCATTAGATTGCTTGAACTGACAAAGTTGGATCTTTAATATGATTACGGAAATAGGCATGTTGACAATGCCATTCCTTCAAAAAAAGAAGAAAGCAACTTTTCAAACAGCTAATGAAGGGATTCTGCACAGATCAGCGAGGTGGAAATTGGGTGTTGTTGAGTTTGTTTAACAGATATATAAAGCGAGCCCAGCGATGGCCGATTCCACACAATGAGATCTCAGGATGTACGTGCACAAATCGTTAAAAATTTGCTGAGAAAGAGAGATGAATGAAGCAAAACTTGGATGACATGCCTCTCTTAGCAGCTCAATTTATGGGCAAGTTCTGTGCGACCAAAATTAGGAGCAAGCAACTTCTTCACAAATACAAAGCGCTGTGCTTCAAAGAATCTAAATCCAATTGGTTAGGCCTTATTTGCAGGTCCTAATGCTACATACTGTTCCGTTTTTGTTTAACTGAGATTTACAAAGCCGATACCAGGAGTGAGAGACTGTACCTGTCAGTGAAGGATGGCTGGAATTCTGTGCTTATAGTGGTCTTTAACGTTACAAAATGTTAGCATTGGAGATGATGTTGGCACTGGTGAGGGAGCTAAAATCTAAGAAACAATCATAACGTTGATGAAAATTCAGGAGAAATCCTGAGACGCTGATCTTTCTTAGGTGATATGTTAAAAATTTACAGCTGGGATGAATCTCACCGTTCGAAGGCTTGTTCCTCATCTCTTGAGAAACCCAGGCTCGGACAGCTGGATGTAAGAAACATGGAGCAGCAGATGTTTGAGGAGATTGGTGATTCGACAATGATTACGGAAATCTCACGCCCTGGGCGAGACATACAGAAGCTAAAGGAGTTTAGGTGGGGCAAAGGAATGGAAGATCCAGATGGGATACAGTGGAGCAGGGATTGAGTCATAGAGTGATAGAGATGTACAGCGCAGAAACAGAAACTTTGGTCCAACTCGTCCATGCCAACCAGTTATCCCAAATTAATCTGGCCCCATTGGCCAGCATTTGGCCCATATCCCTCTAAACCCTTCCTATTCATGTCCCCATCCAGATGCCTTTCAAATGTTGTAATTGCACCAGCCTCCACCACTTCCTCTGGCAGCTCGTTCCATATACACACCAACCCTCTGCATGAAAAGGTTGCCCCTTTTAAATCTTTCCCCTCTCACCTTAAACCTGTGCCCTCTATATTTGGACTCCCTTACCCTGGGGAAAAGACTTTGGCTAGTCATCCTATCCCTGTTCACCCTACAGACTAACTTGGAACAAATGGCCTGTTTCTACTTTCTTTAAATTCATTTAATGTTCATTGGCAACACTAGCATTTATTGCCCAGAGGCCAGTTAAGAGTCAACCACGTTGCTGCAGGTCTGGAGTCACATGTAGGCCAGACCAGGTAAGGATGGCAGTTTCCTTCCTTAAAGCGCATTAGTGAGCCAGATGGGCTTTTCGAACAATGGGCAATGATTCCATGGTCATCATTAGACTCTTAATTCCAGATTTTTATTGAATTCAAATTCCACCATAGCAGGTTTCGAACCCATGTCCCCAGAACATTAGCTGGGTATCTGGATTAAAAGTCCAGCGATAATACCACCAGGCCATCACCTCCCCTATTGCTGGTTATGTATTACCTAGGCTGTCAGCTATAGCTACAGCTCGGAAGGTTTGATGAGCTGGAGGATAACACAGTATTGTTGCCGAACTGGTCCTACCATTTTGTTGGCATGCACAATGAACAGGACTGACAGACATTCCTTTGCAAAAATGTCAACAATTGCAGTAAGTCATTCAGCTGGAACATCATCCACACGCAAAGCTTATGCATCGAATCTGCAGTTCGCACACAAACACTTCATCAAAACCGGTTTTAACAACATAGGGCAACGTGTACTGGATTGGTTCCTGCTCCCATTCTTTCCCAGCTCAGGCAAACAGCAGACAGCATAGTCTGTACCCTAGCGCTCAGGAGTTAGGAACCGCTTTTAACCAGTTAGCAGGGCCCAGCTTCTCGAACTGAGAGGTCACCACACTTTCAACTGCCCAACGAAAGGGACAATGGTTCAGGGACACTGCCCTCTGTGGTTGCCCGATCTCCCCTTCCAATCAGCAAACTGGACATGTTCACCTCACCCCATTTGCCCTCTGGAGCTAGTTTTCTATCCATCAGTGAGTTTAGTGGTGTCCAGTTGCTATGGTGATATTGCATCATTGGACATACAGCCCAGCTTTGATGGATGTTGGTGATAAGCAGGTCTCACAGACAAACAGTGTACAACTTGTACTATCTACAAGATGCACTGCAGAAACTCACCAAAGATCCTCACACAGCACCTTCCAAACACATGACCACTTCCATCTAGAAGGACAAGGGCAGCAGATACATGGGAACACCACCCCCCGCAAGTTCCCCTCCGAGCTACTCACCATCCTGATGTAGAAATATTTCGCTGTTCCTTCAGTGACGATGTGGATATATGAATAATAATCTTTGGAAAGGGATGCACGATCACATAATGAGTAGAAACTGGTTCTCCCTAGCTGCCTCACAACAGATGTGATGTATTCATTTTTATGTAGTCAGTGTTTACTGTGCTTAAAAAGAAATTCATATTTGACCCCACATCAGCAGGCTCCTGTATTATTTACCAATGTCTGCCCTGGACTTAAACATACTTGAGAAAAATATGTATCGACAGAGCATTTTCAAGTTAGCAGGATGTGCCATAAGGAGCAATGCTGAGGCCTCAGCTAGTTACAATCTGTGGTCACAGACATTGAGGGTGATGGGTCTGTAACTAGGACAGTGCACTGTTTCCCAAACCTTGGGCTAACTCCCCTCCCACAACTGTCAGGACAGCTTTCGGCCTGTCCCAGGTACAGGCAACTGGGGGAAGGGCGATATCTGAAGCATCAGGAGGTAAAGGATTGGGCCGGAGGGCTGGATTGGGAGCCGGAGAATGGCTAAGTGGGAGGTACTGGAGTGGGGTGTGGGCTCAGAGCCTCAGTGTGCCTGTGGTACGCAAGGCCCCCCCCTCCCAGCTCCTAGCCTTAAATCAACGCATCTCCAACACTACTGATTGACGATGGGAGTTGACCTCTTGATAGCTTTTGTGCTTTCCTCATGTCAAGCAACAATCATCCACTTTAAGTGGTTTGACTCTTTAGCATAAGCCTTTCCATTATTTATAGTTTTACATTTCCGTGCCTTTGGAAGCCGGGACACTGAGATCAAACATCTGTGTGTTCCCTGTGCTTTTTCCTGTGCTACATATCTCAGTTTGCTGACAATACAAGGCAGGGTGGGAGACTCTCAAGGAAGACACAGAGATACAGATAGTCGACAACAAGCTAGAGTTGAATAGTGCAGGCTCACTTACTTCCAGCAGAAGACTAGGAAAGCGGAATATTGTCTAAAAAGGCATAGACTTTGCAAACGTGGATGGCCTGGGAACCCCTCGGTGGCTGTTTCTGTCGAAGTCAGTTTGGGTCTCCTCATCGGTTTGTGACTCCATGTAACCTTTTCTTCATCACCATGTTGGGTCCAGCCCAGGATTCCAACGGGACCTGGGCCCTTGAGCCCAGAGCCATGAAATGAACCAAGTGGGCTTTGTCTTAAATTCTCATTACTTTTTAATTTCTTTTTTTCACTTTTATTATATTATCATGGAAGGACTCTTATTTTGAACTTTTTATTTCTTTATTTTTCTAATTTGTTCCTGTGATTTTGCACTTTTGGAGGTCTGTAATGCTGGACTTTTTATTTCTTTATTTTCTTGGGAATCTGTCCTCAAGAATCTGGACCTGGGTACCTTGTACCTCAGATTTCGCCATAGGTGGCGACTTGTAGACTTTTCACTGTACTCGTGAGCAATGTGACAATAAAGTTAACTCAATTCATAGTGAAGGGGCCACTGGACTCGAAACCTTAACTCTGCTTTTCTCTCCACAGACACTGCCAGGCCTGCTGAGTTTCTCCAGCATTCTCTTGGCTTGCCTCAGTACTCCAGAAACTGCAATAAGTTGCTTTTATTTAGATATTCATAATGAGTTGGGTTTATTCCTGCCAGGGGCACAGAAAGACCACAAGGCCATGCGACGTCGGAACCCTTCATTCCTTTCCTGATTAAAAAAGTTGTCTCTCCCAGCTTTGAAACTTTATAGCTCTCTGTGGTAAAGAATTCCACAGATTGACTGCTCTCTGAGAGAAGGAATTGCTACTCGTCTCTGTCTTAAATGGGCAAACCCTTTACTCTGAGATTGTGCCCCCAGTTCTAGAATCTCACACGGGGCTAAAGGAGGGGAGAGGAGGGTCTATCATGAGAGAAACTAATGGAGCTAAAGGTTAATTCTGTCCCCTGGAGTGGATGGGGATGCATCTTAGGCTATTAAAGGAATTAGCTATAGAGATAGCTGATACACTGGCAGTAATAGAGTCATAAAGTCATAGAGCTGTACAGCATGGAAACAGACTCTTCAGTCCAACTCGTCCATGCTGACCAGATATCCTAAATAAATCTAGTCCCATTTGGCAGCATTTGGCCCATATCCCTCTAAACCCTTCCTATTCATGTACCCATCCAGATGCCTTTTAAATGTTATAATTGTACCAGCCTCCACCACTTCCTCTGGCAGCTCATTCCATATGCACACCACCTTCTGTGTGAAAATGTTACCCCTCAGGTCCCTTTTAAATCTTTCCCCTCTCACCTTAAACCTATGCGCTGTAGTTTTAGACTCCCTTACCCTGGGAAAAAGACCTTGACTATCCACCCTAACCATGCCCCTCATGATCTTATAAACCACTATAAGGTCACCCGTCAGCCTCCGACACTCCAGGGAAAATAGCCCCAGTCTATTCAGCCTCTTCCTATAGCTCAAACCTCCAATCCTGGTACTATAAACCTTTTAATTTTCAAAGAATCCTTAGTTTCTGGAAAAGAAAGTTAGCAAGTAATTAGGAATGAGAAAAGAATGTTTGGATGAAGAGTGCAGGAATAAAAGAAGATTCCCTACAATTGGTGAGACCGCATCTGTGCAATTTTGCTTTCCATATTGAAAGAAGGACACATTTGCTTTGAAGATGATCCAACAAAGACTCACTAGATCAGTTTGTAGAATGAGGAGCTTTAAAAATAATGAGAAGCTGAGTAAATTTGGAGTTTCGTAAAGTGAGAGGGGATCTCATCGAATCTCACAAGATTCTGAAAGTGATTGAACGGGAGATGTTGGGGAATCCAAAACCCAAAGGCACACCCTCAGGGTAACAGTCCGATCATTTAGGACCGAACTGAGGAGGAACCTCTTCACTCAATGGACTGTGACTCTTCTGAATTTGAATGGTCCTAGAACACACAGGCGAAGACAAAATGGAGTTGCAGAAGAAATGACCCACTGGAGGACTGATTGTTCTCCTCCCATTATCATACAGCATCCTCTGGGCTGCACATGAAGATGGTGACAAGAGAAGGCAACTTTACCCATTACTGATTTCGAGGAGAGTGTATCAAAAATGCTGAGTGTACCATCCCACTTTGTGTCTATTTCCCCTGTGATTTTCATCTCGCCCTGGGGTTACATACCAAGCACGGTGTGCTCTGCTTTGACAGCACTGATCACTGGTTTAACTGAAATGACTCAAACTCTGGGGGTGGCTGACATGTCCCACGCTGCATGCCTTTGATGTTCCCTGAGTAACATGTTTATTATTCATTCTCAGGATGAGGGCATCCCTGGCTAGGCAGCATTTATTGCCCATCCCTAACTACCCAGAGGGCAGTTAAGAGTCAACCACATTGCTGTGGGTCTGGAGTCACATGTAGACCAGAC